TCCTGTGCCTGGCCCCCTCCTGCCAGTTCTCCATCTGCTGCCAGCCCTCCTGCCCCTCCCTGGTCTGCAGACCGGTCCCCTGTGGCTGCCCACCTGCTGCTGAGCATGCATTTCTAGCCCAACAATCCTGCAGGAGCCACTCTGCTCACATCAAGGAGCCCTGGCCAGAACTGTCCCTGCTGTGCCAATGCGGGGTCATGAGGTGCTAAGAAGGCCCTCCCTCCCCAAACTTCCTTTCTATGTGGGCAGAGACGGCCTCAAAACCTATTCCTGCTTTCTCACAGCCTTCCTTCACGACTTCAAAGAAAATCGTACCTTTATATGGACATTTTCCTAAATTAATAGACTTTTCAGATTTTCTCGCTTGTCTTTGGTTTCTCATGTTCCACAGCAGCTTCCTAAGGTGGGTCTTAGGTGGACACTAGGCTCAAGTGGCCCTGAGGGCTAGCAGCTGGGGACAGAGGGTGATGATGAGCTGTGATGGCAGGGAAGGGGCTGCATGTCATTTTTCAGTTACCAGCCCCCCTCTTTTCATGTTCTGAGTTTCAATTTCATCCTGCTCCCCACCTGGGAGGCCAGAATGCCTATGTATGTGTGTGTGTGTGTGTGTGTGTGTGTGTGCGCGTGTGCGTGTGCACCTGTGTGTGCTGAAGCATGTGTATGCATGTTGTGTTTGTAAATATGTTGGGTGTGTGCTTGGGTTTGTGTGTGCTCATGTCCAGATTGACACGTTGTTTCTGGCTCAGTTTTACCCGAAATTCAACCACAGGCTAGGTCCCAGGCTGCCTGAGCTAAACCATCAAAAAGATCATAAAACAAGTTTTGCAACTTGAAGCCCATCACCCGCTGCCAGGGCTCAATGAAAAAGGTTGGAAACCTGAGGCAGCCAGCAGTGAGATGTTCCTTGCGAGGACAGCCTGAGGGCTGAGCCGTCTCTCTGTGGGTGCTGCCCTTGATGAAGGAAGAAGGCCCTGGGACTCAAAAGGGATAGCTGGAGAGCTGCTGTGCCCCTGTGGCCCCACTGACCCCCCTGACCCCACTGACCCCATCTGGACCCTCGGTGACAATAGGCAGGGGCATGATGTGGCCATGTCCAGTACATTGTGGCATGCGGTCACCTGAGAACCAGAGGAAGGGTGAACACTTTGTCTGGAAACAGGCACCTGGCAGTCACTCTCCTGGGTCAGTGGGCAATCACTACCTGCCCAGGGAGCACCGCCGGGGACAATGTAGAAAAGTACAGGGTTCACCATGTGCTGGCATGTCTCAGACGGCACCATCTTCCCATCTTAGAAAGCTCCCAAGTAAACTCATTACTAAATAGGCCCTTAGAAACAAAAGCATGGAATCTGTCAGCCGGAAAATGGCTCCAAAGTTATCCACTTCCTTATCCCTGGAACCTATGAATATGTGACCTTAGGTGGTGAGGAACTCCCAAATGCAATTACATTTTGTTACATTGATTTATATTTTGCTACGTTGATTTTTATACTGCTTTTTTTATTCTCTATTCATTATTTCTGCTCTAATCTTTATTTCTTTTCTTCATTTGGGGATTTTTGTTCTTGCTTTTCCAGTTTCCTGGGATGCCATTAGCAATCTTGAATGGACTGTCTGTGGAGGTCATGGGGCAGACGTAACCACAGGGTCCTCAGGAATTTCTGCTCTAATCTTTATTTCTTTTCTTCATTTGGGGATTTTTGTTCTTGCTTTTCCAGTTTCCTGGGATGCCATTAGCAATCTTGAATGGACTGTCTGTGGAGGTCATGGGGCAGACGTAACCACAGGGTCCTCAGGAGGAAGGCAGAGAGAGATGTGTCTACAGAGAGAAGACCCCTGACATTGAGGGTGGGTGAGGGATCGTGCAAGGCTGACAGAGGCAAAGGATTGGTTCTCCCTGGACCCTCACCAGCCCGAGGTGGAGGAGGCTTGCTAGAGGTCCCTGTGGATTCTGATGCTGGCTCTGGGGGACATCAGTGATGCCCGGGGAGCCAGGCCAAGGCCTCCCATGTGCAGGGTGGCAGCCGGCATGCATTCTGGGAAATGGCCCACAGGGGACGGGGAATCTGGCATGGGGGGAGCTGCTAGGCAGCAGAGGGAAAAAGATGGGGCAAACGGGCTTCTCACCCACCCTCTCTCAAGTGTCACAGCCAAGAGGGGCAGGGGACTATCAAGGAAGAAGTCAGAGCAGCTGCTGCTCCAGGGCAATGGCCACCCCATGGGGCAGAGCACAACGGCACTGGAGGGCACTGGTGGCATAGGATCGACTGGGCAAAAGATAGCCTTGACAGCAGGCCGGCAGGTGTAGTACCCTCCCCACCGTAAACAGCCTGCCCCAGCTGCCTCGTGACACTGGGGTGGAAACACAGGCACTGGGTGCTGGCCAGGCCGCCTCAAGGTCAGGAGCTCTGGTCTGATGGCAGGACCGGCTATTGGTGCTTACTCCTGCCCTCTGCATCCAGCCATATGCCTGCCTTTGACCCACAGCCTACTTCAGAGCCTCAAAGAGTAAGCTCTATTCTTTCCTCCAGGAACTGAGACCAGTTCCTGCTTTATTTGGGAGACAAGAGGGTGCCCTGCACTCTGTGGGCAGGAGCAGAAGAGGGAAAACCATTTGGCACAGAGAGAATCCTCTCCTCTCTACACCCACTACCCCAGAGCCAACTCCCCTCCCCCACTCTGCAGTGCTGAGTGGACCCCAGTCTGTGTGAAGTCCCTGCCGAGGTGCCCAGCACCTGAGGACCAAAGCAGGTGCCCTGCTCCACCAACAGCCCATCTTTCAGAACCTGCCCCATGCCCTGCAGCGTCTGCAGGGTTTGCACAGTTAGATTTCTCTCTGGGGTTTGCGTGAGACCTCAGAAGAGGCAAGATGGCCTTCCACCCTCCCCACCTGACCAAGACCAAGTCCTTAGCACCTGGAATGGCTCAGGCTGTTGGAAGCTTCTGCAGCCCTGAGTGTGCCCCATGGAGGTTCTCAGGGGCATGAGCGCATGTTTTTATTACAGTAGAGATTCCCATGGCCCCGTAGCAAGTGGTTCGAACTATTCTGACTGCTTCCTGAGTGCGGGGAGGAGACATGCTCCCCAGTGGAACACACGGCCACTGCTGGCAGCTAGACCCAGAGCAGCAGGAGCTCAGGCTTCCATAGGCCGAATGATCCTTCACGGTCAGGAGCTCCAGCCTCTAACACACAGGGTGCAAGTCTGCAAACCCCACAGGCAAGGGTTGCACCCAGTTTGGGGCCTGCAGCCTGGATGTACCCCTTCTTATGGGCCCATCCAGTGCAGCACAGGGACAGGCAGCTGCACTGTGGGGTGAGCAGGGCTGGGATGCCCCTGCCACATACGTACACCCTGACAGCCAAGGGCAGCCTTTCCAGGGCTCCCTCCAGCTCCTTCCTTAAGAGCATAAGCTGTGGTCACTATGTTTCTGAACCCCCCACCCAAAGGCTCATGCTTCCCATTTCTTCAGCCCATCACTGAAGATGTAGACAATTCCCGGGCCATCACGTCAGACTCAGGTTTGTCATTAAACTGAACACCCAGACTCTCTGCAGGCCCCATTCTCCCTGAAATGCAAAGCAAAGAGCCCTTAGTCATCCCGGTGAGAGGGAGATGGGGGTGCACTTCCAACCACAGAGAATTGTGTGCCTGCAGTGTGCACTCAGGGCGGAGAGCCGAGCCACGCTGCCAGGCTGGGAACTGAGTTCAGGGATCCAGCTGTGCACTCTGCCATCACCTGGGACTCTGAGCGTCCTCAGTGTGCCAGACCCTGAGCAGGTCCCACCTTGTTGGGATCAATAGCCACATGCCTTTTGCCTCGCAGTCCCCTGCCAGAGAAAACCCTGGTGGACAGACCCTGGGAGATGAGTCCAAGAACTTTCATGGAGGCACTCTCTGTGAGAGTGGCCCCTGGGAACAGTGGGTCCGCCAGCCTAGTGGGGAACATTTAACCCTAAATAGTCACATGCTGGAACCCCAGGGAGGGCCGCAGTGGACGCGGCCTGCACACCAATGCGGAGGACCACAAGTACTAGACACAGAGGGGAAGTAAGTCCCAGAGGGGACTTTCAGGAGAACACTTTTGATGCATCAGAAACCACTGAATTAGAAAATCCCAGTGTCGGGAATAAACCAGACATGGCTCTGCC